CAGCATGTCTCTCGGCCCACGTCGCTTCCCACAGCTCCCATTGGCTGGGAGCACAAACCGCGGCCACTGGGAGCTGAGGGGCTCCATGCCTGTGAATGCTCCAGGTAAACAAAACGTCCCGACTTGCCAGCAGTTTATCCTGATGGACTGGGAGCCAAAGTTTGCCAACTCCTGAAATACAGGGTCAGCTTATGAAAGCATCATACAGTTTTTGCCATTTTTGCCTATCCATCTTGGGGGGTCGGCTTATAAATGAATGGGTTAATGAACGAGTATATACGGTATGTCCACTCTGCAGTCTTTCTGTGGCTGAACCGTTTGCATGCTATACCCACCATGCTACCTAATTTTGTTTATATCAGTTATTTCTGGGAAAATCTCGACAGTTATTCCATACCGCCGAGTGACCAGATAGCGCACACATTGATGAGCATGGATCCACCAGCGTCTGGTAAATTCACTCTTGGGTGTCCTACTGCACAGAGAGCAGGACGGAAAGAGGAGCAGTCAGATTTTTTTGTGGATGTTTTTCTAAGAGAGATGCTCTAGGGTTATTTTGGGGAAGTTTTGTGGCCCATTGTAGAGAAGATCTAGATCAGTGGTTTTTAAACTGTGGGTCGCGGAATGTAAGGCACTGGGTTGTGGCAGCTCTGGTCAGCACCGCCGACCGGGCCATTAAAAGTCCTGTCGGCAGTGCTGCCCGGCTAAGGCAGGCTAGTCCCTACCTGTTCCAACACCGTGCTGTGCCCCAGAAGCAGCCAGCAGCAGTTCCGGATCCGGGGGGGGGAGGGGCGCGGGGCTCCGCGTGCTGCCTCCTCCCGAGCACCGGCTCCACACGTCCATTGGCTGGTTCCCGGCCAATGAGAGTTGGGGGGGGGGGCGTGCTTGTGGGTGAGAGCCGCGTGGAGCCGCTTGTGCGTCTCCGCCTAGGAGCCCGACCTGCTGCTGGCCACTTCTGGGGTGCAGCACGGTCTGCGGTGCCAGGACAGGCGGGAAGCCTGCCTCTGCACCCCGACTGTGCCGCTGACTGGGAGGTGCTGGAGGTAAGCCTGTGCCCCAACCCCCTGCTCCAGCCCTGAGCCCCCCCAAACCCAGAGCCCCCTCCTGCACCCCAATCCCCTCATCCCTGGCCCCATCCCAGAGCCCTGACCCCCCTCCCGCACTCCACCCCCTTGCCCCAGCCCAGAGCCCCCTCCCAGACCCTGAACCCCTCATTCCTGTCCCCACAGCCCTCACCCCTGCACCCCAACCCTCTGCCCCAGCCCTGAGCTCCTCCCACATCCCAAACCCCTCATCCCCAGCTCCATTGGGTCGCGGGCATCAACAATTTTCTTCAACTGGGTCGCCATAAGTTACTGATCTAGATTATCATAATGGTCCCTTCTGGTCTTGAAATCTATGAAATCAGTTACACAGCCATGATTACAAAACTGTTTTGAAAAAGAAATAAAACTTTATATATATGCATATGAGTGACCCATTGATCAGCCTCAAATGCAAGTTCACTTACATATATTATAATTTGCTAGTGTAATGTAATTTAATAGGAAAATTGTGTATACAACATTATCATGAAGTAGTAATTATAAATACTTAACAAAACATTCTGTTTGATAAATGGGAATTATTACCAATAAGTACATTTAAAAATTCTTTAAAAAAAAAAATCTAGGTACAGAAATTGAGATAACAAATGCATATAAAAACCCAACAGTCCATTGAAAAGTTGATGTGATGAAATACTAATTTTTTTTATAAGTGATAAGGATGTTTGTTTACTATTGGCATTGTAAAAACATAGTTAACTGTTAATTTGCTTGGGGTTTTGTAAATTTCATAAATAGTAAAGTACTTTGGTGCTTAGCAACCAAAATTTGTTGGGTGAAGCAAAGATTCTTTTGTAATTTTGGTATGCTCATTTATTTTTGTACTTGTCTAAAAAAGAAAATATATAAAAATATTTAATTGAATCCAAACTGAAGACATTATCTTTTATCTGAGGTTTACTGACTGGCGCACAAAAGAAACTGCACTCTAAGGCCTTGGCTACACTTGCGATTTACAGTGCAATAAAGCTGCCCAGAGCGCTGTACCTCACTCCCCGTCCACACTGGCAAGGCATGTACAGCGCTGTATCTCCCTGGCCACAGCGCTGCAGGTACTCCACCTCCCCGAGAGGAATAAGAGATGCAGTGCAGTGGCTACAACTCCCCGGTGTCAGTGTGAACTAGGCGTTAACTTGCTGCGCTGTGATAATCCCCTTATCAAGTGGCCACTCTTCTCATTGTTGTGATCAGCTCCAGGAATGCGGAAGTGCCGTTTCAAAGCTCCGTACCAGAGAGAAAAAGCAAACATTTTGCTGTTTGCTTTGAGTGAGTGAATGAGAAGCAGGGGGGGTCGGAACTTGCAAGGCAGGGTGCTGACACACTCTCAGCATCCCAAAAAGCACACTCTCTCCCCCCACACTCCCTGTCACACTCCACCAACCCCCCCCTTTTGAAAAGCACGTTGCAGCCACATGAATGCTGGGATAGCTGCCCATAATGCACCGCTCCCAATGCAGCTGCAAACGCAGCAAATGTGGCCATGCTAGCGCGCTGGCAGCTGTCAGTGTGGACAGACTGCAGCGCTTTCCCTACTCAGCTGTACGAAGGCGGGTTTAACTCACAGCGCTGTACAGCTGCACGTGTAGCCATACCCTAAGAGGCAAAGACAGTTGGAGATACTGACTTTTGTCCAAGGTCTTGGGCATGGGGGATGTGGTGTGACTGCAGCTACCCTCTCCAAACAATGCCATATGACTGACTGAGGGGGGTTGTAAACGCACAGAAAACCAACTGATATAGAAGGCATGTGAACAGTTTGTAATGTGAATGTTGCTGCATTGTGCTAGAGCATGAGAACCAGAAAATTAAACTAGCTATAAGACATGTTGGATCAGGAGACAGCAGAAAAGAATTCAAAAGAAAAGTGTGTTTTTATGTAGTCCTAGTCTTCAGTTAAACTTTTAAGCCATCCCAGTTGAAAAAGAGAGAACAACAACGTGTTGCTTCCTTTCCATGTCTCTTCCAAAACCTTTTTGTTTGGCTTTGGCTTCCCTACAGAGCTCAGGGCTGAGCCAAGACAACTTCTTATGTGTTCCCCGCTGTGGTAGGTGCCAAATGTAGTTCAAGTTGCGATACCCCAAGCTGGTATAAAATCTGATTTTAAGGACAGAAACTAGACAAAAAAATTGTAGGAGGAAGAAGAAAGAAAAAGAGTGAACACAATGAGGAGTCCTTGTCGCACCTTAGAGACTAACAAATTTATTTGGGCATAAGCTTTCGTGGGCTAGAACCCACTTCATCAAATGAATGAAGTGAAAAATACAGGAGCAGGTATAAATACATGAAAGGATGGGGGTTGCTTTACCAAGTGTGAGGTCAGTCTAACGAGATAAATCAATTAACAGCAGGATACTAAGGGAGGAAAAATAACTTTGGAAGTGGTAAGAGAGTGGCCCATTACAGACAGCTGACAAGAAGGTGTGAGTAACAGTAGGGAGAAATTAGTATTGGGGAAATTAAGTTTAGGTTTTGTAATGACCCAACCACTCCCAGTCTTTATTCAGGCCTATTCTGATGGTATCCAGTTTGCAAATTAATTAAAGTTCTGCAGCTTCACCTTGGAGTGAAGAGTGAACAGTTCATCAACACATGTTTTCTCACTGCCAAATATAGGAGCAGAGGCTGCAGCCTGCCTTTATCTTACAAAACCTGCACTGTCAATTGCTAAAGGGGGCTCAGTGAATGCTACCCATATATGTATGGATGTTGTTTTTTTGGGTTGTTTTGGTGGTTTGTTTTTGAGGTGGGAGAGAAGTGAGTTACTCCAGAAAAACACAGTATTGTCCCAACTGCGACCTATTTCAAATGGTAAATGTGCAGTTGGCCTGCTAGAACAGCAGAGGCATTAGGTTAATGATTTGTTAATGTTTGTCCTGAAGTAGAAATGCAGCCACTGTCTGCCCCAGTGATTAATAGAGTACACGCCCAGTAAATGTCTGCTGCAGAAACACTTAATCTATTTTAGGAGATTCTTAGTCATCCTTGCTCGGGACTCCAACACTGCTCTTCTCTCTTTGCCATTGAGCAACAGTTAAACAAGATTTCAGTGGAGCAACAAAGTTAGTTGTATTTTTTATCAGGGTGGGGAGATTAATTTTGGTATATCTTGCTTCTTGATAAGCTGTAAGGAAATATTTTGTTTATTACTAATAGAAGACTGTGATTATATTGGTAAATCTAACAGTTTTTGCCTTATAGTTGTTTTGTGCCTGCTAACTACGCAGTGGGGTTTGTAAGATAATCTTTACTTGTAGGAAATCTAATATGGACATGCCCATTTCCTTAAAGTGACAGATTAAAAATTAAATGTTTTCAAACAGATTTCTTTACCTGTGTTGATAGTACACCTTAGATTAGTAAACTGAAGAATTTTTAAAACCTAACTCTTCTACCAATTGTACTAATTGTTTACTTTTTGCATGCCACTCAGTCTGGACAGTGAAAACATACTCCACTTTTCTAGTTATTGTCAGATTTTAGTCACCTGGACTTTATGGTTCTTGTGTACTAGTTCAGTGTTTTATTGTTTGGATTACAGGGGAATATTTTTTGTTAAATAAACACAACAATTTCCCACTGCAATAATTTTTTTAAAAAATCATTGAAGCATTTCTCTTCATCTCATGCTCTCTTGTTAAAGCTTACTTTTCTAGGATATATGTTATTTGATCAGAAAGTAATCCAGAATAAGCATACAGTTTACATAAAGTACGCTCTAGTATAACTGCTGAAATGTGGTTTTGTTTGACAGATTAGACTATTGCTGTAGGTATTATACTTGTTTTTTGTCAGTTCTAGTTAGCAGAAATAGTTTTCATGGCTGCAACGTCCAGGTTTAGCAAATTTTGAATCTAATACAGTAAATATATGAACCAAAATGTCTTCTTTTTTCAGATATACAACACCGTGCATATAGACTTCTGCTTCTGACACCGTCACAGAACCCTGAATACCTACCTTGTGTCATGGCTGTATAGAAGACCTCCAGCTGACATTATTAATGGACTCCAATGAACATCCTTTTGGAGTCCACTGACTTTTATATCAGGGATGCATGCTGTCATGGACAACATGAAAGGGTAGTGCTGAAGGTTATACATTGACAACAAAATTTTTGATACTACTGCAGGCTGGTGATCTAACATGGAAAATAGTTAATTTAGTTTTTGGCTCAATTTAACTTCCAGATAACTGCCTTTTTTAATTCAGTGGCCCTAAGGAAACTACTTGATTTTAGATTTTTAATGACAGTGTTGTCTTAAGATGACAAATTAGAATGAGTAAAAGCAAATTGGTTTCCTTCTGGAAAAATTTTCTCTGTTGACCATGTTTAACCATTCTGTTTTATTCAGCTATTTTTTTTTAAACATCCCCCAAAGAGTTAATGCACCTTATATAGGACACCTGACCTTTTGCAGCTTCATAATTCATATCTAGATGTCACCGGTGTTTCCCATGTTAACAGTTCTCAGCATGTTTTACTATATCTGCCTTCGGCGCCGAGCCAGGACAGCTACAAGGGGAGAAATGATGAACAGCCGGAGAGCTATTGAATCCAACAGCCGAGCCTTACCTATCAATGTTGAAGTAGTCCAGTATGCCAAAGAAGTGTTGGATTTCAGTTCTCATTACGGTAGTGAAAACAGCATGTCCTACACAATGTGGAATTTGGCAGGTATTCCAAATGTGTACCCCAGTTCTGGTGACTTCACTCAGACTGCTGTGTTTCGAACTTATGGAACTTGGTGGGATCAGTGTCCTAGTGCCCAGTTGCCATTCAAGAGGACTCCACCTAACTTCTATAGCCAGGACTACGTAGAGCTTGCTTTTGAGGAGCCAGTTTATCCCACAGCAGTGCATGTTCTGGAAACATATCACCCTGGGGCTGTAATTAGGATTTTGGCTTGTTCTGCAAATCCCTATTCCCAAAATACACCAGCTGAAGTAAGGTAAACTTTTACTGAGTATCTCTCTCTAACTTACTAAATAGTACAACCACAAAAGAACTTTTAAGTTGGGTTTCAGTCTTTATTCTCAGTGTTGGAGTACTTTATATCAGACCCACAAATACTTTGTTTACTTCAGTATATGTTTAAAGCAGTTTTATTTAGGGTACATGTGTTTTGGTTTCCAACATTGTTTAATATCAATATTGTAGTTATAGATTATTTATTGAGACCATTTTAGGGTCAAAGCTCATTCAGGTTTCATTTGTATAATAATAGTTCTTCTAACAGGCCAAACCTCCAAATAATCTATATGGAACTTTTGATAAAAAATAGTTACTATGCATTTACAGTAATTTGTTAATTAAATGACGCTTCTCTGGAATTTTTACTTTCCCCCAAATAATGAGGGCAAATTGTTTATACAGTGTTCCATTTTGCAGTGAAGATTTTTGGATTTACTGTGTTGTAAGGCAAAATGCGCCTATTGCTCAAAATTTATTTTTAATTTTTGAATGTAATCCTTATTTGCCAAAACAACCTAAACTAAATTTGAGTACAAACAAAATAAAAGTTTGCGTGTGAGGTGAACCTTTGTATGCTATGTTTTATCTTAGAGTGACTATTTAGGCTAAAATAATATGTTCCTGAAAATAGCTTATAATGGAAATGCAGGAATAAGTATGTCCAACTACCGAGTATTAGCACTAGCCACTTCCGCCAACATTTTCATATCTCATGATATTAAAAACTTTCATAGATGTGTACGTACTTCCTTATATTTAAGATCTTGAGCTAATTACTGGTAAATAAGTAGAAACTGCATGATTCTAAGTGAGGGCAGCATTTGATCCTTAATTTGTATTTTATAGCCCTTATTCAGTTTTTTAATCATTCTCAGTATCTTGTGTAATCATGTTGTATTCAGGGACATCTCTGTAGACAAAGTAATACCTGTAAGCTATGGATGTTAAATAAGGCCTAGTGGCTGCTTTCAAGGTATTGAGTTTAGATTCTGTGGAGTTACAATCTTCTTAAGCATTTCTGGTAACTCTTTTGCATTAATGTTGTTACAGATGTTTGTTCTTTACCATTCAGTGTGGCTCACTAGATGGGGCATTGGACTGGGACTTGGGAAACTTGGGTTCTGTTCCTGGCCATTTGACTGGTCTCTGTGGTGATCTTGATTAAATCACGTAGTTGCTGTGCCTTCTGTTTCCCCATCTATAAAGTGGGGATGATACATACCTCCTTTATGGATGAAAAGTGCTATCTAAAAGCTGAGTGGTGAGGGTGGTAATATTATATAGCAAGAATGAAAAGGAAGAAATGCTGTTCTAAGTGTTTCACATGCAAGCTAAAAAAAGAACGTATCAGCCATATGAAGATGCAGGGCTAGATTTTCTCTAGTGTCAAGAACCATTTGGCACAAGGGTGGGAGTGGGACACTGGATGGTCAGTTATATTTCCCTAATTTTTAAACTGTAGCTTCTTCAGCTCTGGCATAAATTAGAGCAGCCTTGTGGAGCACAGCTATGCCGATGAGCATAGCCTGATTGGGTGATGGTTGGCACAGGAGCCAGCTCAACTGGCTTTATACTAGCTAAGAGTCTCTCTACTTTTCTGAAGTAATTTTCAGAGAGTCAATTATGACCAGATTCTAGCACTTTTGAGCCACCTGGGACTGCAGTAGAGAATCTGGCCTCCAACCATCTCTAAAAGCAGCCATGTTAGAAAAATATTAGCCATTTACAAGTCTTGGAAAAATCCACTCCCTGTCGTGTACAGAGCAAGAAGCTTTCCTGGGCAAGTGCCATCAGCTTCTGTAGAACTGAAACTTTAATGTTTTGGGGGGAAAAAACCCTTAACCTCTAATACACTGTGATTGCAAAGATAACTTTCCAAATGTGAACCTAGTGCAAACTGATGCAGTCTGTTGTTCCTAAATGTTCAGACAGATAGCTTGTGTCTCTGCTGCTATTTATAGCTTTGTCAAACACAGCAGAGTGAAAACTAACTGGAATCTTGTCAGTTTTCACTTCCACTATTAGGAACTCTGGGCACCAATGAAACTTACATTCTGCTTCTGGAACTTGTAAAAGCTATGTGTGATAGTAGAATCGGCACAATGGCCCTTCATGGGGGAGGTGGACCCAAAAATAGAGAGTAGGATGGGATGGATTAGGTGTGTGTTTGGAGGGTGTGGGGTCACCACTCGTCTCAATATTTTTGGGTTCACTCCCCAGTGAAGAGAGATAGCGCCTGATTCTGCAGTTGTTCATAGTTTTTAAAAACTGCAGAAACAGAATAAAACTGACCTGATTTTTGCAGATTCACTGCTGCACTCAGAGTTCTCAATTACAAGAACTAAGGTGGTGTGAGAGATTAAAGGGGAACAGTAAGAGAAACAAAAAAATATAGGGGAGGAAGTAAAGCACACACTTTAGGTGAAAATAGGTGTAAAGGGCTACAGGAGGCGAGAAAGATAGGAGGAAGAAAGCGCTGAAAACAACATGCGGCAAAGCTATATAATGATCAGTGTAGGAAAGAGAAAAAGTGGAGTTGGGCCAGGACCGGAAAGAAGATTTAACAAAAGCAACAGAGATACTGTAGTAAGTTCATTTTAAAAATGCATTAAATTTAAAATAATACATTACAGTCTAGTATATTACACAGTAAATAGTACACAAATATTTTATACGCTGTACCTCTAAATTGAGGACTTTGGAGGGGCCTGGCTGTGCAGGTAGTCCTTGGGTTAGTAGGTTTTTATGTCCTGGCTACTTAAGTGATTTAGTTAACCAGTACATTTTGGGGGCTAATTGGTTCCCCATCCTCCCTAATTAAGACTTTTTATGTGGGTGCATAAACCGTAAAAGGTAGATGTGTGTGTGTGCGTGTGTCATCATGATGTGTTCAACTGTCACAATTTATTTTGTTGTTATATCAGTGTGTTGATGCAATTCTGTTCAGTTTGTTTAAATTTTTCCCATTTATTGAATAAATATCTGTATACTTGAAAAGTAAGAAATTTGAGTTCAAAGAACAGCAATAGTCCAAACAGTTAACATTTAATTCACTACCTTTCTAACCATGAAATAAGAAAACTCAAAGCATTGCAACATGCAAACCATTTGTGGGTAGGTACACTGAAAAATCAGCTTTCAGTCTTTGTGAATTTGGGATCCAGACTAGAAGCCATTCATGGTCTATCAGTTTGTGTTAAAATATTTTCAGTTGTCTGACTATGCACTGCTGATGTTTACAAAAATAGATTTTTCTTTATTTCTCTTTGTTTTAACTACTCATATATGTCACCCCGAAATTGGTTTACTAATTTGTTTCGCAATATTGTGCTATAATAATATCATCTAGGATAGTAATGAAAGGATTGAAAGGAAATAATGATAGTGTTTTTATTGATATATAAACTAATGGTATTTTACCAAAGCATCTAAACTTTGAATCCATTTAATTCCTTTGCTCATAAGAAATAATATGCCTTTTAATTTTAAAAAATATTTTTAAAAAATTCCCTCTTGAAAACCTATTCCTTGATCAGATTGATCTTGGCTGAATAAGCTAATTACTGAGGTAGACTGACATAAAAGGAATGAAAGTTGCCTACTAAACTAAAGGAAGCTATAAAAGGAGAAAAAAATAGTGAAAATAATTTACTCAAACAGAGCAAACATTTAATGATAGGTACCACTTTCCTCTTGAGTTTATGGCATATTCAGCAGTTACTTCAGTTTGGTGAATTAGGGTGACCGAGGAGCGATTTCCCCCCCCCCCCCCCCCCCCTTTTTTTTTTTTGAAAATCCTTTCAGATGGGATCTCCACAAAAATAATTCTTCCAGTTCTCTCTGAGACAAACCAGTCCAGGCCTGTTTACTCCAGAGGAGTCAGAATTAAAATACATTTATTTTTATTGTAAATCATAATGTAAATCATAATGAAATGTGTTTGTTTAAAAAGGTAGAATGGATTATGGATTGTGCCTAGTTACTTCATTAACTATAGATAATTGAACAAATGTAAACCTTTATAAAGTTGAAACATTGTTCACTGAGGTAGGAAAATAAGGGTCTGATCCTGCAAGCGCTTGCTAACAAGTGTAGTGCTTGGTTTCAGTGAGACTACTTAAGCAGATAATCTATGATTTTTTTTTTTTAAGATACAGATACACCCACAACCTGATGAAATGCCTCAAGTACTGCTAATTGAGGAAATTATAGCAAAAGAGCTTTCAGGTACTAAGCTCAATTTTTTTTTTTCCAGAACTTAATTGGTCAGCATTCATTTGTGCAAAGCCAAAACCAAGAGTAGCAAAGTGTTGTCCGGATTGGACCTTAAGTTTTGGTGTGTTTTATATGATTTATCTTCCCCAGATTTACATAAAATGCATTTTGTCCTGTGTGGGTATTCATTGTTCTCTGACTACTATCGTTGGACCAGTTTCCCCATCTGAAAGGAGATAATGATACATACCTCATTGGTAATGCACTTTGATATCTCTGAATGAAAAGCTCTGTACAAGAGTTAAATATTATTTCTGTTGGAAATTCCCTTCTTGGAAGTAAACAGAAGATCCCTCTTCTGATATATTTGTTTTTAAATCAAGCTGCTTTTTGGCTCCACTTCTGGCATGTTTGAGATACTGCAGTCACATTGACAACCTAATCTTTTGCCTCTGTGCAAAGCCGATGAAGATTCCTCAGGATTTTGTGGCCCTCTGTTTTTTCAGGCAGGAATCTCCTGGGTTTTGGCTTCCTCCAACCTAGCAGCAGTTTGGTAACTAGAGGGTAAGTCCTTCTTTAGGATATCATAGGAACTAGAGAATTTCCTTGTTTTAGAATTCCTTACAGCTAGCAGACGGAAGGAGGCAGGGTACTAAAATCACAGAAATGTGGGGCTGGATCTCAAGGTCGTCTAATCCAGCCTCTTGCACTGAGGCAAGACCAGGTATACTTAGACCATCCTTGACAAGTGTTTGTTTAAGC